TGAGGTGACACTGTCTTCAGCGATTCATGAGGCCGTTTCCTCTTCCAATTCTTCGTCCGAGTCCGTCTCTGTTTCTGTTTCCTTATCTGTAGCCGAGCCTGTTCCTGATTCTGACTCTTTCTCCGACTCCGACTCCTTCTCTGTTTCCGATTGTTTCTCCGTACCTGAGGACTTCTCCGATTCAGACTCTTTTTCTGATTCTGATTCTTTGTCGGTCTCAGATTCTTTCTCGCTGTCAGATTCCTTCTCGGTTCCTTCGGCTTCAGATTTGGACTTGCTCTCCTCATCAGAATCCCCAGGTTCTTCGGGCTCCTCATCTGAGTCCACGGTGCTTTCATTGGCATCGTCGCGGTCCAGATCTACTTTCAAGTAATCTTTGTCGATGCTGCTTTTCTCTGATGACTCCTCATCAGAGCCTTTCTCCCTGCTAGCTTCACTTGACCCTGCCTCCGGCTCGCTTTCTGTTACACTAATAGACACTTTTGACTTCCTGTCATCCTCACTCGCAGCTTGTGAAGCGTCCTCATCTTTGTCACTCCCTGTAGCCGAACCTTGACTCACACTACTCTGAGACTTTCTCCTGCCTTGCAACCTGTTGCCTAAGGTGATTTTCTTCATGACCTTTCCGAGGCGACTGCGGGACTCAGAGACACTGTCGATGGGTCCCGTAAGTGCGGGTCCGCCAGTCAGACTGTCTTGGCTGTCAATCCGACGTGCTGACATCAGTTTGGCATAATCTTTGTCTTTTTTCCCAACACCAAACATCTTGAACATTTTGGCCTTTCTCCATGGAGATCGGCCAGCGTCAGATGGCTTCTCTACTTTCTTGCCAGCTGCCAGGAGTTTGCTGAGTTTCATGACAGACTTCAGTTTTTTGGCAGCCTTAGAAGGCTCGCCCTCTGCTGGCTCAGCTGGTTCAATTTCACCCTCTGGTGGCACATCCTTAAAAGCAACCCTCTTGCCTCGACCTCTACCGCGGGGGGCTCCCCGACCTCTGCCTCTGCCACGGTCCTACGACAGTCACATTACATTTTTAAACATTTTGAGATGATAGAAGCAACAAATGTTCAAGACATACGGGGAGATACGGTTTCAAAGTCCTGCTCAAAAATACAAAAGAGAGCTCATTCAAAATGAACTCATTTTCATCATAACATAAAGGACAGAGAATACCTCAGTAATGCTCAGAGCTCATTCAAAATGAAAGGACAGAGAATACCTCAGTAATGCTGTAATAATCATCCTCCATGATCACTTCGCCGTATTCATCGTACATGGGGGAGATCAGCCTTCTTCGACTGCCATACTGAGGAATGTCATACCTGTAAAGGAGGAAAACAAACAAACAGAGACTAAAAACCTCTATGAAGATACAGAGCCAGTCACTACTTATTAAAAGCTCTAATTCTTCTGTCACATCTTCCTAATACCATTCATGTCTGTCTTTTGGTGAGTGAGTGCTGTGCTGACTAACTGCATGAAATATGGAATAAAGTAATAAAAAAAACATGCAGCTCCTTGAAATACGGAATAAAGTAATAAAAAAAACATGCAGGTGCTGCATAAAAGTGTACAAAGTATTCTCCATGGTAGGTACATTCAGTACAAGTCACCTGCTGCAGAGCAGAAGCTTTTAATGAATAACAAATTCTGAGCAGCTGTTCCAGATTTCGGTTCCATATTTTTCCTGTTTAGACCATATGGGCGATATAAGATGAAAGCCAAAAACATCCTCTCATCCATTTAACCACAGCAACGCAGTGTCTCAGGTAACAAATTTAAGGCGACCGTAACAGGATTTATTTGATGCTGTAAGTTATGTCAAATGATGGTTAGCGTATGTAACATTCAGTTGGCAGCAATCGCTGAACTCATCACTTAATCATCGGTATCTTTCACGTGCATTCAAAGCAGCGCTGTGACACATTAAACGGCAGTGGCAGGGAGAACAATTAAAAACTCTGCCACTAGTTGGCAGCAGATGTAGAGACTAAAAACAGAAAGACACTCAGAGCTTAAAAAAAAATAAATCTGTGAGCTTCAATTCCTGCGAGTATATCAGCGTTGTGTTCAACTAAACAGGCCGAGTAAGTCAATTGTGTGAAAAAGTGAAAGTAGATCATTTTGTTTGAATAAAGTGTATAAGTATATATATATATATATATATATATATACATACACATATATACATATATATAGATATATACATACACATATATACATATGTGCCGCCCAATGCTTCTTTGTATATATATATATACAGTACATATATATACACACACACATATATATATAGACATATATGTACATGTAAAGGTAGTGTTCACATTTAGCATTTAGCGCATTTCGTCTACATGGCCTGTGTTTTTAAACGAAATCCATAAGATTGAAAGACGGTCCAACATTATGAGGATGACAATGAGAATTGAGGCTCTAACATGCAGGTAAGTGTAACAGGAGAGGAGCTGATAACCCCAGTGGTGGTGGTGGTGGTGGTGGGGGGGACTGCAGCAGTAAGTTGGCTTATACTCACCCTTGGTCATAATTATAGTAGTCTTGTGAGTAATAATCCTGGCCTGGGTCGATACCGGACTCCATGGAGAGCGCCTGGAATTAATAAAAGGGGGAATATTACTGAGAAAGAGAAATTTCTGAGCCAGGTGCTGAGAAGGACTAGAGAAGAAGAAAAAGAGCAACAGCAGCAGAGAGGGTGAGATCACAGCAGGATGACAACAACCCTTGTGAAATAGGAATAGCGGGAGTGTGTCTACCTCAGGTCTCAGAAGAGACGGCCTCAGCAGTTGCTGGTGCTGCCAGTGTTTAGTACAAAGGGAGGTAATGGGAGGGAAAGGTGATCAGAAAGACACAAACACAGGGGACAGTTTTAAAGTTGAGGTCATAAAATAGTGATGATGATTGATGGAAACGACAGAACGACGCCAGTCAACCAAACCACATCAGAGTACAAACAAAGAGACGGAGCCAAAGCAGGAAGTTGCTGAAAGGACATAGGACTGTTCAATAACAAAATATTTAAATCTATTTAAATTCCTTAAATCTTATTTGCTTTCTCTGTGTCTAGAACAGGGATGGGCAAACTATGGCCCGGGGGACCAAACTTGTCAAAATTATGTTATTAAGGACTCAAAAAGTTTGCCCATGCCTGGTCTAGAACATCTGAAATTACACAAAGGTCTAACAACTAAGTGAAAAAGAAAATCATAATTTACATCAGTCCTAGTTCCATCAGCATCACCCATATTAATCTCCAAATGTATTTTTCACTTAGATGAGAGTCGACGCAGCCTCACGCCACATGGTGCGAAAATGGTGCGACATGAATAACACACAGAGGAAAACATAAATGCTTACCTGTCTGCCTCGCCTCCTGTGTGTCACAGAAAGGAGATAATAGGACAAATAACTATTACGCACTGACAGCAACAACTCATGTGCTTTTAGATAAATTAAATGTTAAGTCTTGAGGGACAGCACGTCTACATTCTGCTGACCACTGAGGAAATTGCATCTTTACTGACTGTGCATTTCCATGTGTTAAATTACTGGGTGGCGGAGGCGCTCCCAGGCTGCAATAACACAGTGCCTGTGTGGACAATTTTTTTCTTTTTCTGTTATCACGTCCAAACAGGGGGAAAATAAAGACAAAATAAATACAATTATCGCAGACACAGGGGACATTGGCGTTTGGAAAGGGCCGGTGTTTATACAGACATATCTAGTGAATCTGGTGGCATAAATGAAAAGAGAACAGCGTTATTCATGGAGGGATTTCGGACTCACAGAAAGCGTATAAAATTGTGCCATTTGTTCCCCCTGTTATCAGCAGCAAGTCTTAGTGATTATGCAAATAGATAAATGAGGTTAGCACAACCACTTAGCAGAGGGCATTCAATATTAAACAACATTTTAAATGAACACCACTCATGTCATGTGTCAACATTATTAAAAACTAATAATCGTCTTTTCAACATGACTATTAAGTAATCATGTCAAAAGATTCAATTGGTTTTGTATGGCTGCTTATAGTAACATACTGTGAAAGCATTGGTTTTGCCAAAAAAAAAGTGAGTGACTGAGCTGTTTAACATGATCTCTGTGAGCTTCTTCAATTCCTGCACGAGCTTCTCTGTGAGCTTCTTCAATTCCTGCACGAACATCAGGGTTGTGTTCAACTAAACAGGCCCTGGTTTGCATAAATAATTTGTGTGTTTTTGTGACATTTTCCTAACGTAAAATGTGTGCTAGAAAACACTGACTTAGTGCACACAAAACTACCTGCAATGGAAACACAGAACTGGATTAAATCCATTTGTGGAACATTCGTAATTAGTAATTGAGAAAAAAATTTTTTTTTTCTTTCACAGAGAGCAGCTGCGTGAAAATACAGAGTTGAAGGTCTGGATAATTGGATGTGACAGAAACACAACACCCACGATTCAAGACACCTCCTTCATACATTAAGAATATGTTTTTTATATTTCTTCATGCCAGTATCTGGAAATTGCTCCTGACTGAAAAGTTGAATGAAAATCTATACATATTTAAATTCTTCTTGAAAGGATTGCACAATTTGTATTTACCCATTGACTTCTCTGAGTTACGGTGCAGGTCGCCTAACCCCTGCGGGCTCAAAAGTACACAAGTGTACCCCGACCGGGCCCGTAAATAACGGTGACTTTCACGCTCAGATATATGGCCAAGCAATGATGTGAGCTTCCTCTGGAGAGCTGTAATCTGTTATTACGGCCAGGGAGCAGGGGACACGGCACAGCCATATGGCCACACCTCTAAGCAGAGTGGATGATGGGAGTGGTGGGCTGATGAATGACCTTTTGGCTTGGCTGCTGGCTGCTGCTGCTTCACGCAGCATCAAGACAAATGGCCCGGTGGATGGCAGCCACGGGGCGTTAGCACAAGAGGGCTCTTGGGGGAGTCCGGGTAAAATGATCCATTATCAGGTTCACAAGGTAATGTAGAGAGAGAGGTGAGGGGTGAGCACATGATTACGACAAGAGCGAAGAATGAACAGTACAGCGTGGGGTTTGTAAGAGTGAGCTGGAAGTCACTTCACAGACTTAAATGTTCTATTAAAACTATATAACACAGGTTATTGGTTGCAATGAAAAAGAGAACAAGTGAAGAGTTCCGTGCTCTTATTTCATCCAAACAACTACCGGACAGAGGTGGACGACCTTTATGGGCCACAGTCCAGTCTCATGCGAGACATTATTTTCCCCTATATCTGCCTTTAAAATGTGGAGAATAAACACAATAAAACGTATGAAAACACAACAACAAAGACACATATGAATAAACTTTAAGTAGGAATTTTATATAAAGCTTTCTCTTTCCTTATGTATGCATTTTTGGTGGCTTGCGTGAAAGAGAATAACCTTGTCTCCCTGATGCCCTAAATTTGAATTCAATCAAAGCAATGGGATTTAACCTGTTATCAAAATCTCATTGGATACAGTATAGCGGTTAGAATACTTGCCTTACAAGCAAAGAGTAGCGACTCGTGGCTACGATTTCCAAAGGAACCACGTATCGCTAATGCTGCCACCCGCTCATTTAAGTTGCTATGGCTAGCCTAAAGTCTGCTAAAGCCATGAATGTAAATATTAACAGCTATTTATATTCACTTTATATATTTCTGCTACATGTTGGACTACGCAGCACTTCCCTCCTCGTCCTCAAGGGTTGTGAACATTGAACAAAAGAATAAGCGGGTATATGCCATCAGGGAAATGACTGATGAATGAAACATTTTATTGTTACGGTAGGGAGGTGCGGGGACGGGGGGCATTTGACTTTGGGTTTTAAAGGGCAAGACATGTGAAGGGCAGGTATGAAAAAACAGATGTGGGGGAAGGGAATGAAAACCAGAGTCATTACGCCATTAATGCATAATGAGAAAGAGAGAGAGAGATGCCATATTGCAGTGGTTGTATAAACATGTATTGCAATACTGAGAAAATTAAATACAGTAAAGCAAAACAATGAATGAGAGAAATACAGACAGAGACAAGTGGATGAGGAAGAGTGTAAAAGGCAGTGGCCTGGGGTAACGATTGATCTGTTCTCTGGTTCCACTTTTCCCGTCTGGGGCTGAACACCAGAGTGACGTCTTCTGCGTGTTCAGAGGTAACACGTAAAAGTCAGGTTCTTCAGAGCTCGACTGCGTGTTCAGAGGTAACGTGTAAAAGTCAGGTTCTTCAGAGCTCGACTCTTCTTAGACAACAAATACCTCTCAACGGAAGCAAAGTCAGTGTCTTAACAACTGATGGTTTCGTCAACACGTTATGTTTCTACTGTAAGAACTCCAAACCATAGAAGAAAAACTACAGTATTTCATAGAACTATATTTGGTATTCGATTGGTCCGGATGTATATTTATATTATTACCTGACCATTACACATCTGTGACAGTTGTTTCCCCTTCTAGATTTCACACCAATGTCGCTCTGCTAGTTCTCATCACCTTCACCAACATGTTTCATTAGCACGTGATTATCTTTCGTTACGATTAAGAGACTTCATTTTTACGTATTTATGCATTTAGCAGACGCTTTTAATCGAAAGGGGGAGGTGCTATTAAGCACTAGGTTCCTTTGGGAATCTCCCCTCTTTGCTTGCAAGGCAGGTGTGCTTACCGCTACGTGGAACCACGTTTCACATGATTAGCAGACATTTTCTTCAGCTAAATTTGTTTATTCTCTAGGCAACAACACCTTTGCTTTTTGTGTGAATGGGAAAATTAAAATCATTTATTAACCGAGAAATGGAAGAACTCTTGGAAACAGAGCCTCGGGTCACGCGACTACAAAAAAGGTCCATAGAATAGCTAAGTACTTCTGGGAGGTAGTGTACGATTAAATTTGAATTTCATTGCTATTTGTAGGATATGGTAACAAACTGAATACTATATTGGGTCAAGTTCCCAAAATAATATATACTTTTTGAAAATCTTTTGAAAAGCCTTGACAAAGTTACTCCACAAAAATAGGAAATTCAACTTAAAAAAAATAGAAAATCTAGAAAATCAGCATGACTAACCTGAGCACATTCGTTGAGAGGTGGCACTAAAAATGTAATTTTTAAATAACAGTAGAAGTAAAAAAAAAAAGCAGTATTATGAAAGAGCGTGACTTAAGAACGAGTAAGAATCAATGAAAACAAACAATGAACTAGTCTTAGAAAAGTATAAGAGTATGAGGAAAAAGAAAAAGATATAGAATGAACTAGTCATAGAAAAGAGTAGATAAGAGTATGAGGAAAAAGAAAAAGATCATAAAAATGTGGACTGAGAGAAAAGGTGTTCACTGGGATCACTTTTTGGGCTTTCACAGTTCAACTGACTTGACTCTGGAGCCTCCGCAGCCTCATTCATTTCACTCAGTCCATTCTCAGAACTGTCCGGACTGATTTGGACTGCGGCGCTGAAGTCGATCGTTTCGGGCACGCTCTGCTCGCCGCAGGAGCCGGAGGTGGGCAGCTCATTAATGCAGCCCGACTTCTCCGCCGCCTCTGTTTTTCTGGTGAACCTCGGGACCTTACAGTTTTTGTCAACCTGGCTGTAGAGGTTCGCGACCGACCTCTCTATGTCGGCCAAATTCTGGAGGTTTTTCAAGATTCCTTTGAGCTCCTTCTTTCTCCCTCCGTCGGCTTGTGAGGGATCACGGGGAAGTGGATGCTTGCGTTCCGACACCGGCCTGAGCACGGACGTGGGGGGCAAAGATGTGGGAAAGCACTGGATGGTAGGGGGCTGCTGATTGGCAGCTGGTGAGGAGAAGAGAGGAAGAGGTGGTGGTGGTGGTGGTGGTGGTAATGGTGGTGGAGGGAGAGGGGGTGGAGGAGGTGGAGGCGGGTGACCATGTGGAACAATTTCAGAAGGGGAAGTGGATGGAAGGGAAGAGCATGTTTTACAAAGATAGGAAGCTGAAGGTGGAGATGGTGGAGGACTATCAGGAGGAGATGTTGGCGGAGGTGGTGGTGGGGGTGTTTGGTGTGGAGGAGCTGGTGCAGGGATTTCCGGTGGATCCGGAATCATCTCCACGGTGATCTGATAGGGTTGGTCTGTCATGCAGTTAGCCAAACTGGAGCTGAGTTTCCTGAGTACAGGTGGAGTTGGTCTTTGGCTGCCCAGGGTCCACGACTCTTCTCCGTGACAAATGATAATGTTGGGAGGCACATCTCTACCTACCGTGGGGCTACGGGGGTAATCTGTGACAGAGAGCAGGCTTTCTGGGATCAGTTCCAGTGTTTCGTTAGCGTTTCTCTCTCGGAGAAGAATCGAAGAGAGCGAAGCGTGACACTCTCTGTTTTGCTTGAGGCTGCTTGCTGCTCGAGCTGCCGAGCCTGCTCACGGACTGACATCTTGGTCTCTGTGCTGTCACTCATCTGGAGTGTGTCTGAACTCCCGAGCTTTTGCTCACTTCTCCTCATGGCTTCAAGCACCTGCAGGTCCCAATCGGCCAAGTTCGTAAGTGCTTGCCTTTTAGGCACTTGGTTATTGAGCGGATCTCCGTGAATGCGGGCGGGCATTGACCTGATGTATCCTGACCCCGTTGAAGGAGTCGGAGAAAACAAGAAGCGTTTACTGCAGAGGGGACTGCTGTCCTCGTAAAGGGGGTTGTGTGTGGTTAGCGGTTTGTAGTCCGACAGAAAGGTCACACTGCTCGCTGACTTTGGCAAGTTGACGTGCAATTCTCCGTTGCCAAGGGCCGTAAGTGCGCGACAGGCAAAGTTGCTTAAAATCCTCTGGTGTTCGGCTTCCTCAATGACAGACCTCTCAGCACTGGCACAGTGGAAAGCGAAAGTGGAAAGGAAGGAAAAATAAAGACTTAAAACAAGTTGAGATTGATGGCTTAGGGTCAAGGGAAGCAAAGGAAAAAAAGAAATAAAAGAGCGTTGAAAGGAAGTGTTCCTGCAGCTACGCCTTATCTCTTAGTGCTGTAACCGTGTTATTATTTTAATGATGTAGTTTGATTCAAAGAACATTTCTGTAGCCATGTAATTTGCTCAGCTAAAGGCCAAAAGAAAAGTATTTATATACATATATAATTACATAATATATATATATATATTTTATTATTATTTCATTATTATTATTGACCACTGTATTCTATCCTTCTAGTCACCGTAGGTAGACTTTTTAAGATAAATATTTATTTTATAACAACCTTACACTTAATAACCTCTGGTGGGCCGCATAAAATGATGTGGTGGGCCATATTCGGCCCGTGGGCCGAGTTTAACATACCCTAAATCAAACAGATTTATATTCAAAAATATATTTGACAACATAAAACATTGACGCTACTATTTTCTGATTTTTTTTTTTTTCTTATCACTTCAGCAGGCTGTGCTTCCACGAAAAACATTCTGGGGGAGTCTTCATTTTGGTGGAAAAGAAAATCAGATCAGAGCTGGATTAGAAAACCTGTTTCTGCCTTTCCAAAATCTAACAGGTTGTTTACCTGCGAGAGCGCGAAAGAGATGCAATGATTAAACTGGATAACACTTTTCAAGGAGCTTCAAGAACCGTCAATATAAATCATCTTCAAACCCCTTTGAGTTTTCTGCAGATACTGCACTGCATTATGGGAAGCGTAGCGTTATTGATTTTTGAACTGAATATGTTGAAGGTTAGTTTTAAACTGGTACCAATACATTATGCCTCCAAATGCCAGTGATTTAATGCTGTTGGTTAATGGTTAATGCATGACTCAATGTATTAGTCCAGTACTTCTCAAATAGTGGGGCGGGCCCCCCGGGGGGCGCGGTGGGGGGGTTCCAATGGCTCGCTGGACATAGGTGTACCCCTGCTGTAATGCTTGAATGAAAACAAGCCTCCAGCCACTAGGTGGCAGCAACTCATACAGTGGTTTGTACAGATAAAAATATACATGTTATCAGGTTCTTAATAGTATTTTAATCTGCGGGGGTGTGGATCAGATGGAGACCGGGGGCGTGAAAACATGTCTGTCCACAAGGGGGTGCATGATGAACCACTGCATTAGTCCAATCAGTCACAACACTAAGAGATGAGGTGTGATAAGGTAAACTAAAGGTAAAAAGGACACACCTACTGGGACTACTGCTAAAGATAAAGAGTTTATTTCTAACTATGTGCAAAAAATAATTAAAAAAAGCGGCTAATATGTTAGGCTCGGGAGAAATTGATAAAACCAAATAAAGCATTCACTGAAACTATATTTACGTCCAAGAGGCAAAGAGAGGAAGGTTAGGGTAAATACATTTCCAGCTTCAGTGAAAGCATATGCTCAGCCAAAGATGCTAGCCAGAGGGAAAGCAAAGGTGTGCTATTTTTAGAAATAATACTGATCATATTCAAGGAGCTCCTCCATGTGTTTTGGGATTACTTACTGCAGTCTGAAATCCGGAGAGACAGGGGAATGGAGATGATGGGGAAAAAAAACGAGACAGACAGATGGTAAAGAGAATAAAGCAGGCTTGTCAACGGCGTTAACGTATAATGGAAGTTGGGAGGTATGGGGGGGGATCGTGACCACGTGGCATTTCTGCATACTGACAGGGAAATGCTGCAAGTGATTTATTTGCTGCCTTCATCTGACAGCATACACAAAGTGGATGTGAAGAAAAAAAGAGGACTGTTTATTAGTTTTAAAGAGCCGCAAAGTGCTTTGACAGGATTGTTTATATGACAAACTGTACTTATTCTCGGCACAGACTGAAAAAATGACCCCTAAATAAATGATCCTCATTTATATTATACGCAGTCCCCCTTGAGAGCCACGCTCCAACTACAGAATCCAAATCCTTTGTGGGCACTGGTCAACATCTGTGTCCCGTCTGAAGGTCTTAACAGCCGCTAGCTCTGTGACCCAATGAACGAATAAATTCTACCGAAAAAAAAAGTTCTAAGATAAACAGAACAGATGTCTTCATTTATGGAGAAAACAAAGCATTTTCGCACCTGAACACATTTTTGTGTCTGTGTTTCTAGCATAGAATTCCTTCTTGATGAAATTTCTTTCGCTCAAGGTCACAATCCACCTTCCGTTTTAAATGATCTCCAAGATTCGAAACAAAATGAACAGGTGTCTTAGCACGTCGTAGTTATTTAAGTAAAGTAGAATCATCATCTGGTATATATTATAAAGAGAAAATATATATATATATATTCTGTATATAAATATATATACATATACAGCTATATATATATATTCTGTATATAAATATATGTTTACACATATATTTTTATATATATATATATTCTGTATATAAATATATGTTTACACATATATTTTTATATATATATATATTCTGTATATAAATATATATACATATACAGCTATATATATATATATAAACACTGAAAATATATACACATATAAATATATATTTACATATGTATTTCATATATTGTGTATATAAAATATATATACATATACAGCTATATATATATATATTCTGTATATAAATATATATACATATATATTAGATATATTCTGTATATAAACATATATTTACATATATATTTTTATATATATATTTTACATATATTCTGTATATAAATATATGTTTACACATATATTTTTATATATATATTATATACAAATATATATAATGCATCATATGTGTATGTCAAATCAGGTTTCACTCACGCGCTGCTGTCACCCAGCTCCTCATACAGGTTTGTGGTAGGAGCACTCGCCGGAGGTGCTTTCCCTCCTGGTGGCAGAGCCATCTGAATCCTGGCTGTTTTGGCACATTCTGCCTGTCGCCTGCATGAAGTGATACATCGACAGTCACAACTGTGTGCGTTTCTAAGATGCGTAACAACACACCTAAGCTAAAAAAACAAAAATAACACAATTCATGCACAAACATCAAGAAGAAAAACACATTTCTTCATATTTTCTGTAGCAGAAAAGAGAAGATATTAAACAGCAGGTGGTCAACAGAGAGCAGATAATAAATTCACACGTTGCTTTTTATCATCTCTGCCATGAATTCAATTAAAAATAAATAACCTAACAAAATCACCAAAACACCTGGCCTCGTTCAACCTCTACTACCTCTGATAGTATTAGTACTAGTGTATTCTTAGAAAAAAGAAAATCATTTTTTAGCAGAAGGCATTTTGTCCGGTGTTGAGAATATAAAAGTAATCATTTACACAAAAAGAAGTCAGGAAACTGCTAACATAAGTAAGATTATGAACCCGAGAGAGCAGCTACATAAAATAGCGACCTAGATTCTTAAGTCCAATTAACAGTGTAAACAACTTTTAAAATGGCATTCTGCTCCAGAGTGTAAGAGTGGCTGATATTCCAACTATACCATTCATTATTATCACACATCAGTGCAAAAAAAAAAGGCATTCAAAACACCCAAAATATAGAAGTTATGTGAAAAACAAGTCCTACAGCTCCTAAATAAAATAACTATTTATTATCTCACTGTCGTAGCACATAATGTACTGTTGGATTTACGTCTTAGAACGTCAACAAAAATGCAACGCAGGTATAAGCTAAATAAAAAAAAAAATGTCTCAGTTCACATGGCAACAACATTAGAATTTATATGTAAGAATTCCAACTTACTCTTTGAACCTGGTGATAGGTCGATGCAGGGTGTGACATCACAGCAAGGAGACAAGGAGACAAAAAGTTAGTGCTCTGAGAAACTTAATACTAACAGTACATTACCAGTAAAGAGAACACTGCGATAATTAAATATATACAATATAGCTGTATGCACAATATAAATGTGTACATATATATATATATACAGTATATTTATAAATATATATATACAGTATATATACTGTATATAAATATGTCACTTCTATTTTTTTACAACCAAAATTCAATTATTCCACACGAATACGCACATTTCTATTTTTAATGACTTATGTTGACAGGCGGTAATTGGAAAATTATTTTCTAAATCATTCAAATTTACCAAAGTAATATCACCGCCAACAAAGCGCCATCTGCTCCGACAGTTTGTATGTAAGGCTAATGTCACTGTCAACACTTCTCAGTTGTGCTAGGCCACGGTGGATTCGCAGAAGGACGGCCACCCTGCCCATCTGTGATCAACAGACACTTCCCAAACACGGCTGTTTATCCAACACCCGAGGCATAATAACAATTAGCGGGGATAAGAGGCAGACACCCGCCAGCTCCGAGAGCAGCGACCTCGAGAACGCTCTTCTTGGGAAATAATAGGGGAAAAACAAGAATAGAAGAGAAAAAATACAGCACTGTTTAGCGCATCGGTCTCGCACGGATGATTAAGCAGTGTGAAGATGCAGTGTTAAATAACACTAGATACTTGTCACAAATAAGTGTTCATTAATCCGCTTTCACGGAGCACGAGCAGGGACATCAGCCCGGCAGAGTGCCCGGTCAGCAAGTCTGACGAGAGAGGAAGAGCGACGAAGAGATGAAGAGGAAAAGGGCGAAACAGAAATGAGAAAAAAAAACAAAAAAAAAAACGCACAAAGTAAGAAGTTCTGTCTCATCACGTCGAACATAATATTCAGTGTTGTCGTTTTCTGGCTATTTTTCTAATGTGCCGAATGACGAATCAGTATTAAGGCAAAACAATAATTATACTTTTTCCGAATTAAGGCAAAACAATAATTATACTTTTTTTTTTTTTTTTATAAAAAGAAGTACAAGTATTCATGTTTAATGAGCTATCATTTGACAAAACATCTTTTCTCTTTCAAAGTTCATCACGCGGGCCCACTCGGGCCTCTGGGCGGGCCGATTTTGGCCCGCGGGACATATGTTGATTTACAGTGTATTGCACTTTCTCTCAACCCTGACAATGTGATGAAAAAGCAGACATCAGTGATCATCACTGAGACTGTGAGCACTGACTGTTTGTAGGTAACCATGACGATGAGGATGGCAGGGATGCAGCACAGGATGATGATGATGGCCAGAGCCAGCAGAGCTCCCTCGGTGTAGCCCACAGCCTGAGCGGCCTTCTTCACGCTGGCCACGACGTCCGGCGATCGGATCTCAAGGATGCGCCCTCCCTCGCCGAGGTGCGGCTGGAATTCTTTGTTGATTTCCAGCACGTTCCCATCGAGGAATCTAAAATTGAGCACGAAAAAGACAGCAGGTAGAGATAGAGACCTCTATTAACTCCAGGGTTTTGTGTGTTTTTCCCCAGGCTTTGCTTTACAACTACTGTGAACCTGGTTTATGAAAATGACCAATCACAATACAGGAACAAAGACAGAGAAGAGAGTTTCCGTTGGCCTCGTAGCATAACTGCCTAAGTCATATCTTATGAATAAAAAAACAAAATGTCTAAGTCAGGCATGGCCAAACTACGGCTCGGGGGCCGGATGCGGCCCCTTTGGCTTTTTAATCCAGGCCACCAAATGTGTCCAAAGTATGTTATTAATTTCTATTATCATTAAACTCCAGCCTTTTTCTTGCAATGACCTCATTTCTCCATAGATGGCGTAGAAAAGCACTTTAGCCTTTATGACTTTTACATGTCATTTGTTTTAGTTCACACGAACGCTCCATCCATTGACAAAGGGAAATGATGATTATGGATCGTAACAATCACTCTGATTGGCTAAGGATGTAGCCAATAAGGCGCAGTGAATCAGCAACATGAGGAAAGTAGAAGTGGCAGATATCAAAATTTGACCAAAACATGACCTATAGAGCCAAATGTGCTGGGAGGCTAATGATATTAGCAGCTAAAGTTGAAGCTTCTAGCTCCACGTGATGTCTAAAAATATTAAAGGTTTCACTATACATATGAGACCTTTGAAAAAGAAGAGACAGGTCTCACCAGTCTCACTGAAACAAGTCGGTCTGCTGCTGCTCTTCTGATGAGTGAAGCTGGGAGAATCATTAAAAGCTTGAAAAAGGCTTTTAAACACTTGAAAAAAAAAATAAATCTACCTGCTTAGCACCGAACGGTCCACAGAGAGTTGGTCACTAATTGCTAGAGCGACAGAGCACTGCTTTAAAAACATCATGTGCTGACAGAGAGTTATTCCGAGGCCAGTGACCATCTGTAATTTAAATATTATACAGTACAGGCGCTCACAAGGTGCCATATTTTTCACAGATTTATTTTTATCCTTTTGTTCTGCCGGTGTTTAAATTACAGACTTGTATTCTTTTTATTATATTATTACTGTTATGCAACCGTCTTATCTGTCATTTTACTTTGTTTTAACAGATGCCCAGCATCAAATAATTGGCTATTAAACACAGCGGAGCATAAGGGAATATGCATCAATAAAATATAGCAGTGCGCTCAAGGTGACATGGGGACACTCAAACCTGTCTGTCCTTTTCTATCACTATTTGTGATCTGACAGCAAAGTCGTTGATATATAACATGCAATTACCGAGCAATGCTGTCAGGTGGACGCTGCATGCATAGAAATGTTTTCCTCTGATTTAAATGTCCCTTCTGACAGTACCTGCATCAAGGCGGGACATTCCTAAAGCAGGGATGTTGCCTGGCTCTCTACGTAGCAAAATTAGCTTTGTTTTCAAAAAAAATTATTTATGTGATCGATAGTTAGGTTTGTATTGGGAAAAGAAAAATAGAGAGGAAATGGTTAATGCCTCAAAACCCGTCTCCCTACTTAAAATGCCTGTGGTCTTTGCTAAAGGTCAAGGACACTGAGATGATGCTAATGGATTCAGCACATACATAGGGAACAATCAAATGCCATTCAAGGGAAGGTTTTTTCATAGAACTTGAGTCCAGGACTCAAGCTTTAGTCACAGTCAGGAGTCTTAAATACCGGGGCGCTACTTGACCTGAGCCTTTGAAAATGTGCATCCTGACTTTTAAAAAGGACTGTTTTGATTTAACACAACCCGTTTTCTATTGAAATACTATTAGTGGTGTGAAAGCTCCGCTCACTTTTTGTTCTGTGTTAAATACACAGAAGTATTTTTAATATTATTTTTATTCATTTGGAATTATTCATCATTTTTATTTTGTTGTTGTCGTTTATTCATTTTTATTGATTTTCTTGTCCAATATAACGATAGTGTCAGTTGGCAGAGTTTTTCCTAAACACATTTTTTTTCTTCGAAATGAAATAATAATAATTACAATAATAATAACATTAATAACAACAACAACAATAATAATAATAATAATAATAATAATAATTTTTCATCCCAAAATGGGAGAAATTTACTGTGCGAGTCTTTGCGACCAACACGAGAATCGAACCCATGACTTTTGCTGTTCGTAAGGCAGCCATGCCAACCACTGCGCAATGAAACCACAACAATCATATGTTAAATCATGTAAACAACTTGCTGTAAACATTAGGTTGAGCTCACACCCAGAGCAGTTTAAGTGATGGTACTGTGTAAAATGCAAGTACACAAATAAAAACACATCATATTGGTTTGTAAAAAATGCTAATGCAGAATGTGAAATATCTATCTCTAACACAGTCAATGGATATTTGCTATATATTTGCAAGGGAATATATTTGTTGTGGGTATCATTAATCTAATAATTAAGTGCTTGAATTTGAAAAACGTAATAATCGTAGAGCTGAGTGTCCCCGCTGTCTGCTGCTGGCTCACAGTCTCGTCTAGACTAGAGGTCTGAGTAGTCAGTCATCAGAGTTGACACTGATGAATACAGACAGAAACGCTGTGAGACATTTAAGGTTAAAGAAAATCTGAGAGAGATGGATGAGGGCTATAGCTTCACAATAAATGTTCAAAACTTTTTTTTCTGATTGGAATAAATAAGGAGGCTTTTTTTTTGCCTGTAGATTTTTATAGTTTGTGGACAGTGATGCTACAGCTCGCCCTACAGATGCACTCCAGACAGATTGAGAACACTTCTGTATGTCCCCAAACAAAAAGCAATAAAATGCATTGCTGACAAACACTCTATCGCTCCTGGAACAGCCTCCGAGACACTGACATGACGGATTGATGGACTGATTGAAATATACCCATGCCTCACTCTCAGTTTGTCTGTCCTCAACCTTAACCCACCCTGCTCTCTCTTAAATCTACTGCTTTCCTGTGACATATGACAGATTCGGTGCACTGGCCCAATAATCAAAGTCTTACAAAGGACACGGAGGCCGTAAAAAGGCAGAGATGCCGCAAGAGAAGATGCCACCGGGTTGCTGAGAAAACAATATTTGCTGAGTCACTCTATGGACATATGAAAAAAAAAAAAAAAGGGAATGCTGGGAAATCATGAAGACCGCAGGCACAACAGAATTTCTGTTTAATGCACTGAACTGGAGGACGAGATAATAAAAGCTCATCTACTCACTTGAAGAGCTCCTGGCGGGAAATTGCCCTGTTCGTGAGGGGGTCGATGGCGTAAACCATCAGGTCCGTCTTAGTGTAGTCCTCTAGCTCAAAGCCATCGCCATGACGACGTGGCCCGATAGCCTCTACGATCACTTTAGCACCAGGAATCTGGTCCTGGACGTGGCGTTCCAGGATACTGCAGTGAAAAAAAGAAGAAAAAGAAAACACACTCATGTACCTTATTTTCTGGACTATAAGACACACTTTTTTTTCATCCTTTACCTGGCTAGGTTTACGAATTATACTCAGGTGCGACTTATATATTAAAATATATAATTTCACACGTTCTTTATTTTCACACTGACAGCCGCTAGAGGGCGCTCTAGGCTTCTGTACCAGTATCTGTTACTCCTGTACCACTGAAAATGTACATGCTCTTTATTTTCACACTGACAGCCACTAGAGGGCACTGGTGCAACTATAAGTTGTATCAGTAGGTAGTAGCGTATAAGGTAACTTATAGTCTGTAAAATACGGTATATGTCTAAGTTATTTAATTATTACAAATGATTACGAATTTTAATGCATTTTCTCCAAATTATAAACATAAACAAATCTTAACCATAAAGATAATAATTACAAACATAAACAAATCTTAACCATAAAGATGTACAGTAATGACTACAATCAACCAAATCTATCAAGAAAATGTTACTTTTTTCTATACGGGGTGCACGGTTTACAACGTCCTCGACATATGACGTTTCGTGGTTATGTCGCCAACTTCCATACATTTTTTAAGAAAGTATATTCCATCATTCTGACGTATAGCACAAAGTAAATTTTGAGAACCATGTGGCGGTTATTCTGTATGCAGATGACAGCTTTTTTTACATTCACTGGTTGAGTAGCATATGGATTATGCTACATTCGCTTTCTTTTGTTTGTGGTTTTTCTTTTTTCTTGCCCTTTTTACACAAAAAGCTTAGACATTTCACGTCAACTAAAACACAGAAGAGCTTGCAGTTTAGGCAGGCAGAAGTTGTACTCCTGGCAGTTACTATGAGTCAGCAACGTCACCACAACTAAAAAACATGTGTCTTAACATTTCAAAGTGTGCGCTCTGATATACCTGAGGTTCCCGTTTGTTCCATTTCTTAGTATCTAGCAGCGATTTGCCCAGAACCAACATGAGAGCCTCTAATCTTAAGCGCTACGCTTACAAAGTGTAAGAGGAGCAGGATCTTGGCAAAGGAGGGTTCAATAATCCTTTCTCTGGCTGGGTGAAACGCACACCTCAAATTACAGCCAATAACAAAAAAGCCTCGCTCTCTATCTTTGCCAAAAAGGATGTACACTTTCAGCACTCAGGTAAAATGGCCTTGGATCATCACCAGCGCAGTGAAAAACTGCGCACTCCTCAAATGAAATCACAGCAAAGAGCCTATCATGACGAATGTCTGTGTTTTGAAGGCAATGTCACCTGTGTGGCAGGAACACTGTTGGCTGCCTAAGAACTACTATTTACACTCATTTTCCCCTCAGTTGAGCTAATGGGTCTAAGCACCGTGCCTACCGCGCTGCCAAAAACCATTCACCAAGCTCATCATTAATTAAGTTCAAGCACAAAAAGGAGAAAGACTTAGAGACGATCCATATTTCGCATCGTTTTTTTTACAAGGCCATATTTGATCCAAAATTAAAAGCAACACTTTATTTTCATTTTTATACTTTGATAGTGGCGACAGACCCCATACCTTATAAGTTCCTCCTTTTTCTCTTCGACCAAAGTGGGCGGAACAGTCGAGACAACAACTTGCATGTCCAAAGCGTTGACTACAGACACCTGTGGGAGAAAAAGTCAACAGAAAATGGGGGTAAAAACTGACCGAGCCGTTAGATACATGTCAACCATAAGTATCAAGCCTGTAATTGGTTACTTGTAATGCCGTCCCGCAGCATATGTACGTGGATCTAATTTTGACCACACTGTTCAATTTTCAGGTAACTCTCTGTGGGCTCCAGGAACTTGGTTTTTTATTTGAAATTAACAAGCACCACGGTCAATCTCTCGCCTGCTCGTCTGTCCAGACAGTGTACCGGAGACTACCTCTGTCATGTAAGTAGCTTATTAACCAGCCATATTTTACCGGTTAAAAAAAAAGAAGCCTTTCCACAGCTAAAGCTGAAAATTCTAAGTTAAATACAGAGGACGGAAGGGGTGTCAAAATCTGTTTTTTATTTTAAGTTAAAAAAAAAAGTTGATCGTAGGGCCTGGAATGAAGCAGATTTAGATTTTCCCATTTGCAATGTTGAAGCTTTCGGGTTCACATCCACCTAGTTGCCAATCCCAGGTTGGACTGGTTAGGAATGAATGCAAAGCACTCCATCGTGGCACTGAAAGTTACTTTTCTAACTGAAGTGGACTTAAGGTGGTGCCCAAGGTACCTGGTAGCCCCCGTGGACTACCTAAGACAGTGTTTCTATAACCTTTTTTCTGGGGACCCATATTTAGTCACAAAGTCACAAACCTTCATGACCCAAGTCAATAGACATTATTTGTAAACTCCTGGGAAAAATTTTGCGAGATGACCCCAAAAAAAAAAAAAAAAATCTCTTGCGACCCACCTGAGGGTCTTGTGGGGTATGTTGTAAAAATAAAACTAGTCAGCAAGAGGTTCAAAAACTGTACTGTTACTGTGGTTTTTGGATCAGTTCCACTTGCAATGATATTCAAATGGGTTCAATGACGATGGTAAGAAGAGTGTCTACTATTCTACAGTATGACCCAGAACTAATTATTATTACATTGTTGGGGAAGTCTGTATCAAACTACTAGCTGTGTGTATTACTAAGTGTCTTTGAAGTAGCTCTCAGTTTCAGAAAGGTTGGTGACCCCTGGACAGCCCCCTAGGTTCCAAACCCAGTGGTAGGGGTCGGAGCAGGAAGAGCATTTGCCAAATATTTATGTGGATTACAGTTGTAGCAACCCTTAATGTTTCAATCTTTCATCTACATCTACAGGCCGCTACAGGCATATTGACGTGGTTTTTTATTATTGCTACTCACCACAACGTCAGCACTGTTACTAAGGCCTTTTCCGTAGTCGTCCGTGGCAATAACTTCAAACTTAAAGTAGGACCTGCGCATGTTGCGAAACATCATAGCAGACTTGATGATGCCCGTGTAGATCTCGATGACAAAGCTGTCCTGGCCCTCAGCTGTAGGTGGGATGATCAGGCGGTACGCCATCGCACTGTAGTTCCCTGTGTCCTTGTCAGTGGCCTGGAACACACAAACGGTAAGAAAAACCCAACAAATACTGGAGTTATACACGGTGGTGGTTCAATTCCATGCTAGTTGCACATAAGACTATCACAGGATGTAGTGATGAGGTAATAATCCTTGTGATTTCATCTCCGTTTTCCAAACACTCTACTATAGTGAGTCACATTTTGGGGTTTTTTATGGACATCTGTTGAATGAGAACATGTTCTTTTTTCTATCTACCGCAGACCATCAGTGCTGTTGTTTACCCTCTTGGGTACATCACGTCTTTTCCGGCATCCATGATTTGTATTTAATGTGGTAACTGGTTTATAATAGAACAACTTAAGGTCCACAGGCTACTGCTGTCTCACACTGACTTTTAGCATTTGTCACAGCAGAAAAGCAACCATGAGGAAAAAGTACTTTACGTCAATCAGACAAGTAACGGATGCGTGAAATTCGACCAAAAATCTCAAAGGCAAACAGTACAGTTAAAGTTACACGTTCAGAGCAGATGATTGGAGACTGTATCAGAGCGGTGGACATGTGTTTATTACAGTAGCCTCACATGTTGGTAGTTCTGATGTAGAATCCCAGTAGAAAGATGTACAAAGACAAAGAGAATTTTGGTTTATTACAAAACCTTTCAAGGTTTTCCCCACTTCTCAATCTCCATTGGGACTGGCTTCAAATCAGGAGTTTTAATGAGAGTTTTATTTGAAGCAACAACAATGAGACATAGACACATAGAAACATGTGAAAAGCTTGTCAGACCACTCCATGCCTCCTCTTGATATAATGGAGAAAATTAAATTGGAAATGATCAAAAAACTTTTTGTGGTAGGGCGTTATATCGTCAGCGTAAGGGTTTTACTGATCTTTGCTTAAAAGGAATACTGAGGTTTAATAGATCGAATTCAATTATGGTGTGAAAAGATCATCACATTAGTACGACAAATTAACCAACTAATGATTACTAACCAAGAGCAGGCTGAAAAAGTCACCATCTGGGAAATTATAAAATCTCAGTTTTTAGCTCTCTTTTAAATTCAATCTTCTGGTTGATGGACAAAAAAGATGTTACACAAAAAAATTGCAATTTACTTGCAACAGCTTTTGAAACACATTCAAGGTCCGTTGAAATGCGAGGGAAATTATTATTAATCAAATATATAAATAAAAAATAGTTGTCATTATTAATGATCAAAGGTTTCCTGTTACCTCTTTCAATTTAGTTTAGATTGTTCTCCAGTCGGATTGACAGAAAACATAAAAAAAAATGTTGGTAGTATGACAGAAACCAAAAAGTACAAATGTTTTCCAATGTCCACCAATATTTTGATTAAAATGACATGTAACATGTTTGGTGAAGTTATATAGAATATTAATTATCATCTTATAGTAAAAAAGAATGCAGTGAGAGATGATTTTGGTCAACTTTAAAATAAGTGCTTTGATTAAAAATACAAAGGGCTTGTGAAGTTCTAAAAACGCTCTCTGAGCAGCTTTGAAGAGTAGAATCTCTCTATGATGAGTCAAACTATGATTAAAACAGGTTCAAGTGGTGGAGGAGGATGCAAACAGTTTCTCTGTGAACTTTCTTTTTACAACTGTTGGCTCCTCATTCAGGCTATTACAACAAAAACGAGTTTTATGTTGCTGGCGTTACTACAGATAATATGTTTTACGGTAGAAGTTAAAGTAAAGTTAGCAACTAAACAAAGGCATAACTTCATTTATTTAACTTCTACCTATAATTTAGTTCATTTATTTCATTCAAATGAAGTTCATTTACTTCATTTATTTAACTTCTACCTATAAACCTTCTCCAGGTCGTTTGGGAAGTTGGAGCCATTCCCAGTAGTGATTGGGCCAGGTCGCAGAACCACCACGATTTTCAGGACTTTTTCCACCACTGGTTATGCCCACACCTTGAACTTTCTAGTAACTTCTACAGAAAAGCTCTTGATGTCACTACGTTTCTAAACATCCAATCACACGTTGTATTTTGTCATTTTGATTTTTGTTATACCCTTGCTATTTTGGGAGTCATAGGTGATTTTCTTTAATGCTCTACTAAATCTAGTATTCCTCCTCTACAGTACAAGGATCCGTTTTATATGCTAAACATCAGTTGACGTAATAAAAATGGACTCGCATGGCTTTATGGAGTCCTGAAGGTGAACCTGTCCTTCTAGGAGGGCTTTTAAATCCGAATTAAAATATTATTGGTTAGAAAAAAATATCCAAGTGCAGTTTAAATTAATCTTTTTTTTGGAATGTACAGGTACATTTTTTATTTTATTTTATTTTTACACCTACTGACGATTTGGAATGAATTGATTTTATACATTTTGATTCTCACCTCTGTATTAGATAATAAATGGAGCTCCATGTACCAGATCACCAGGTCACAGACAGTAGTATCAGTAAATAAAAAAATCAGATTTTTTAAATATATTTTCCATTAATTTTACACACATTTTTAGAAAATATAAAAAAATCTGATTTTTTTTTTTTTATAATTTCTTTTTTTTTTTTCTGATACTACTGTCTGTGACCTGATGATCACGTACATGAAGCCACTTCTTCCTAATGGACTGAAACTGCTCATGAGCTTTGTGGTAAAAACATTGAGCTTTCAGGGGGGAAAAAGACATTTGAGGTTATTCTGGTGAAGGTCATTACAGTTATAAAAAACATTACATACATCATTTTCAACAGAAATTCCACATAATTCAAACACTCATTCGAATTTTAGCCGAGTGTCAGCCAGATTTCCATTTTTCTAGGTGCCGCTGTTGAATCCCTTTCCAGCAGCTCAAAGAGCCAGAGAATGTAATGTTAAGCAGTGCAGTGTGAAAGTTGCCATGAAAGGCAAAACCCAATAAAGAGCTTTCTGCACCACTTGCTGCTGCTCATTAAATTCAGTGAATTCAGTGTATGGTAGAAATGATAGTAAATCATGAAAAATCCTTTATCTGCACTTTAAAGTGAGGATGGAACTTTTCGAAAATAATACTTAGATGGGTTCGCCCGGCAGTCCACGCCGTCTCACTTGTTCACATCACGTGTTTGTTGACAACCGTACGCATCTCGCGGGAGTGTTCCGTATTGTTTGCGTTATCTACGTGATTTTCTCTCTATTTTGTGCATTATTCTTCATAATAGTGTTGAGTCGATAAATATGAGCGTGGGGCCAGCTAAAGAATACAAATCAAAAAAAGCAACAAAAACAAAGTTAAGTTAATTCTAAGCTTATGTAAGTTATGTGGTGTTCGTGTAAGGTACAGTACGGAGTCTGCGTACGGTCCAACTCTCTTCCCTCCCTTTCCCTCTTCCTCCTCCTCCTCTGCACATGCCGTAACTGTATCGTCTGTCTCGAAGGTAAGAACTCATAATTAAAACAATTTCCATTGTTATTAGCTCTAATAGGGGAGTTTTTTAGAGGGCCGGAACAGATTTTTTTCTGTTTTTTCTTATGGGGAAAAATGATTTAAAATACGAACACCTCGAGTTACGAGCTTGATCCTGATACGGATTAGGCTCGTATCTCGAGGTTTGACTGTATTTCAAAGAATCTATTTCAATAAATAATGAAAAGCTGAACACATGAAGCCAATAAAACGTAAAAAAAAAAAAAAAAAAGTGCATTTCCGAGCTTCTCTACACAAACACAAACTCACAAGTGGTACAAACACTAAAGGAATATTGGAGGAAACCCTCCGCGATAGTCACACCGGATGTTCAGCCGTGCGTTTGTGACCGTAGCCTGCGGAAATCACACAGATCGGCTTACTCTTATCCCACCTGCGTGTGAACAAGCCAGACAGCGGGCAGATTGAAATTGAGGAAGAGATGTAACAAGTGATAGGTGAGGAGATGAAACCGCGCTGCAGCTAGCAGAGCGGATGAATTCTCCCACCATGGCTGCGGGACAAACGTCAAGGTGGCAGATGTAGAAGGCAGATCTTTAGTTCCCACACGCTCGCAGGCATGGTAGGGAAAAAGAAACACAGGGGGAAATGGTTTTCCTTACCACTATCTTGAGCACGGAGCTGAAGATCTTCGTGTCCTCCGTCACGCCACCTATGTAGAGCTGCCTGCTGAAGACGGGGGGGTGGTCGTTCTCATCCTGCACTGTAATGAACACCTTGGCCGTGTTACCTGGCAGGAAGTGGCAAGAACAACATGGATATTATTTAAATAATATATATTTAAGTGGAATAAGTGACCATTTGGTGGAAAAAAAACACCAAAAGATGTCACTTTTTATGACCTTAAAATGTTGATCTGTTGACCTTGAGACCACTGTAATGGAACCTCAAGTTAACCCGACTCTAGAAAGTAAAAATCAATATCATCATTTATCAAAATAAAACGAAGAAAAATCAATTGTATAAAACAAAAACACACCAAAATACTAATAGTACTAATGGTACTAAAACACGGATTAATATAATCATTATCCACGGGCTTTGTCATATAATATATTGTACCGTGTGTACCAACAGGTTCACCTGAAGTCAAGTCATACAATGAAGAAATCAATTGACAAAGGAAGAAAAAAAGCTCGGAGATAAGAATGATATTCACTATTCTATGAAAATGATCTCCAACACCAGTCATGAAAATCATAACTTTCTTCTTCTCCTTTCCAGCCTCCCCTAAAGTCCCCCCTTCCAACACTATAATCTGTTAACCAAAGACAGTAACTGGCCGCAGAGAGCAGGAAGTCATGGGTTTGATTCCCAGACGAACTGGATTCTTGCTGCCTCGAAAGTGTGGATCAATAATTTTTTTTTATGGAATCTATGAGAAATACTTGATTTTACAATACGTTAAGGTAATTAATTGGAACATATTTGTAAAATAAGCTGTGAAACACCTCGATCGTACTGCCTGAAGTAAGGTGGACCCCCGAGATACGACTTTAATCTGTTCCACAACAGCACCCATGTGTGTGATCCACTGGTCTCTCGATCGAATTTTCCGAGGGACAGTGGGGCCACTAAGAGTAGGAGAAGGAATTTTATTATATATACTATATATTTTTATTTTATTTTATTAAACACAGCTGCTGAGTTCGTGGCTTTCCCATGAATGGATGCCAGTCCTCGGTTGAGCACTTGTAACTAGAAATTCAGGAGCAAAAATCTTGCAATAGTTGCAGACTCATAGAATACTCCTTTTCCGGGAAGTTTATATCTCTGGGGTCCACTGTACAAATGTTTTAGAAGGATGGAAAGAAACAGAGTAAACATTTGGAAAGTTCTCCTTTTTTCCATTCTTTTAAAGATGTTTTTTAGAGTAACTCTCCGTCTGATCATCCATTGGTCACTGCGAGGTGTTGTACGGTGAAACATCTATTCCATCCCAGCAGGATGTAAAAAAAAAAAAGAAAAAAAGTAAGCAACGTTAAGGTCCCGTTTTTCTTCTGGTAGCAAACACAAAGGAGAAGTTGTAGGTGAATGATTGTCCCGGGGCTATGAGACAAATAACAATACAGCACATCAAATTACATTCACTACAGCTGCAGTGTGGGACACGGGGGAAACGGGCGAGAGAGTGAGGAGAGAATGAAGGGAGAAAGACAGCGAGAGACAGATTTACACTGATGTCTCTCTCTCTCTCTCCCAGTCTGCACCATCAACCCCCCGACAGAACCCACACACAGTGATTGATGACAGGACACAGTCGGTTAAGGGGATCCTCACACTGGTGCATTAGCCTCTTAAATGTAACCGCTTCGTTTTTTCGAGTGTGCCGTGTGCAATTTGTACACGTGGCTGCGGCGCAATTAACAAATTAGACCCTCGCAGCTCTAACAATCCAGAATCAATACAGAAAGTCCAATGACGGTAACATCAATCAAGCATTGGTGTTAAATCTTTAAGGTTTAAGGTTTGTGTATTTTTGTATTTTCAAAATTCATCAAGCGGGCCAGATTGAAACCACGAGTGGGCCGGTTTGGGCCCACGAGCCATACTTTTGACACCCATGGTTTAAAGTTTCATGTTTCAAGACAAGATATTCTGTTTTTTTTTTTTTCAAATTGTGAAATGTGAAGTACAGCAAAAGTACTATTAATATGAATAAGGTGTATATGCCTGCTTGTTAAATCAAATCTTGGAGAAATTTGTTAAAAACAAAGGTTACTCTTATTTTTAAACATATGTTAAATGCAAATAATTGGACTGGATTGCGGAGGAAAAAGGAGCGTATTGATATCAGATTGATATCAGTATCGGCAGATACTCCAAGTTGTAATGTAGGTATCGTCAAAAAAACTCAAAATCTCAGCTGAATTTTATTGTAAATACTGGAATTATTAAAAAAATAATTTTACTTTTAATTTTACTGAAACATGAAATAAAATTAAGAATTAGTGAATTTTCTAATTAAGAAATGTTTTTTTTTCAATTTATTTATTTTAACTCTGCGTCCCCCCAGGGCAATTTTTTTATTTTAACTCTGCGTCCCCCCAGGGAGAGCCCACCAGTAAGGACTTTGATACCACTGCTCTAACAGGATTACCACACCTGAAACCATGAATAAAGTTGAAACAAAACAGTGAGTCAGTACAAGCAAAGGAAACACCGTCTTCTCTCACAAGATTTTTTTTCCCCCCACACGACTCAATTCCAATTTTATTATGAAAAGCGAAAGGCCAAACCATGAAAGCCTTTGAGGAGAAACTTCAAGACCTTTATGATGCAAGGAACAATTATCTGTGTGTGCGTGCCTGAGCACGACTGGCGTAAAAATGCAATTGATTCTTGAAGAGGGAGCACAAAGCCAGGTAGGATGTAGTCGGAGGGAGACCAGACCAGATCTGTGCGACCTAGTTTTTGTCAGGCCTGAAGAAGAGGAACACGCTGGCCCTCTATTAACTCAAACATTACTATGATTAATGTTTCTGTCACTCCTCCTTGTTTTGGGGGTGGTCCGCCCTAAATGATAACAAATGGGTTATTTCCTCCTAAGTTAGAGCATTGTGATGAACGTGGACACGGCCATTTTACAGATTTATGATATTCTTGCAGCGACATGCTGCCACATAAATCACGTTTCATTTTGGATTCTCTTGTGAATCGACATCGGTGATGAGTAAAAGCTCTCTTTCTTGAAGAGTGGAATTTCGGTAGTCGAACTGCTCGATGATTTTGATTTTGCCTTCCTTTATTCAGTTGTGATTTTCTTTGTTGTTAGACCTAATTATTTTCATTGGTTTTATGTATGAACTTGTAAACAAAATACTGATAAAAAAGTTTGAATCAGCGATCATCCAGGGTTCAGGAACGGATTCATGCATTTTACATTGATTCCTATGGGGGAAATGGTTTCAGTTTTCAAACTTTTCGCTTCACGAACGGCCTTCAGGAACAAATTCAGTCCAAAAAAAACGACGTTCCAGTGTATTATTTTTCTGGTGTGAAATGGGTGTGGACAGTAAAGTAAGCAGGAAAGCATACGTGATTGACTACAATAGCTTTAAAAAAAAGATAAAAAGAAATGCAACCGGAGTACATTTAAAAATCAGCTTTCTGTTATATGGACTGTGAAACCAAACAATCAATCACAGGTAGCGAACCTGTCACCTGCCAATATACAAATGGAACAGTGCCGAGGAGAAACGCAACGCCGCGTAAAACACACAGCCAAGTCCCATTTACTGTGACAAGCCTTTTTGCCTTGTCTTCATCTGAAGCAGCAGCTGAAAAGTACGGGCATAAAAGAGGTTCTAAGAGGAACATGAGATGGACATTTTTATAATAATAACCAACGGTGGATGTAGGTGCAGGAATCTGAGAGGAGGAGAACGCTACTTTGATCATGAACCTCTGCGGCAAAAAAAGAGGAAGAAACAACTGAACATCAGCTGAGAGTTCAGAGCAGAGACAGGAAAAACACCTTCAGTAACCTGGATAAAAAGCCAAAAATTAAGTGGCTTTCTCTTCTTAAGGGAAACGTGTCAACAACGACACAACTGTTTTTTGTTTTGTTTTTTTTTTGCAAGAAGCTACGTCTTGTTATTATTTAAGTATAAACCATTTAAGGGGAAAACACGATGCTTTTGTGGTGCACAATAACAAAAAAATAAAAAAAATATTACTAAGACACATTTAGCTGTTGTCTCTTACTTTTGGAAGGTACGCGCAATTTGGCCATCACCACCACCATGGAGTCGGCCTGGACCCTGAGGACGTAGCTGGTCACGTTCTCATAATCCAGAGGTTTAGCTGTAGAGATGACACCTGTCCTGTTATTCACCCGAAAATGACCTGAAAAAAAAAAAAACACAGGAAATGACATGGGATTCATCTACATAAAAAAAAAAATCAAAATCAAAATTGTACTTTGCACAATTGATAGTGATGGTTAAAATGTTAACGAAAACCTTTGTGAGTTTGTGACCGACACAAAATGGCCTCATATATTTGAAGTCATTATGCAAAGAAGTGTAAGGAAAAAAAAACATTTTTCTTTTTTCCAGAAACACTACTGGACAAAGAAGTGTAAGGAAAAAATTTTTTTTTTCTTTTTTCCAGAAACACTACTGGAATAGTCACTTTCTGCTCATTCATACAGCTTTACTTATAGTAAAGTAGGTGTTCCCAACATAAGGGGCAGGGCCCCCACAGTAGGCCACAGAGCTATAGTGGAAAAATTAACTTGATATTCGATTTTTTTTATGTGACTGTATCGCATTTAGGATCATTTACTGACTTGTCATTTCCTACAGTCCATTATTTATGTTTACTGCCAGACAAAGTGTGGACGAAGATAGACTTTGAGGAGTTAGCACTTTTGTACGCAAGATGTCAAAGCCACAACGTCCATCCAGTCCTTGTTAAACCCTTCGTTCTGAGTTGTGTGTATTATGGGTATTATGGGCTCCATTGATCGGATCTGTAGCACATACCCAGTTCATTTCCTTCCACAATGGAGTAGAAGATGGTTTGATTGACAGCCGCAGCTAGAATAGTTCCCACAGGCGTGCCGAGCCGAGCCAGCTCACTAACTGGAGAAAACCTGGACAAACAAAAAATGTTAAATTACATCATATGAATACAAATGATAAATCTATAATTAATACATTTTTATGCCCCCAAAATATTTGCAAAATTCCTGCAAACCTATTAATGATATCAATATTAATACACACCAATTAAATATGATCATCTAGAAAGGCTTTAAGCAAAGATCAGACAGAAAGGCTGTACAAGTCACGAGGTGGAGAAATGAAGAAGAAGTGAATTATTTTCCTGGCAGTAATCTCATTTTCTGCTTTAACGTCTTTGCTTTAACGTTCAACTGTGTTCAGTAGCTTTGGGGCAAAGTGATCACAAGTATTAAAAAGAAGATTTGAGCAGCTCAGATAAGGTTTCTCTGTAGATGGATTGGACTTTTGGAAAGTTTCATATAAGGAATAAATCGCAGCTTTGGTTATTTCCTGGTTTTGAAAGAGGTTTATTGACTGTGTTTATCTTACTGGGGAGATGACAGTCAGGACAAGAAGACCCGGAGTCGACCGTGTTTGATTTGGAAGGGACGTTTTTTTTTTATCCTTGGTAGACCATACAGAGTTTTAAGCCGGAACGATATTTTTAGGAAAATCATTTCTGTATTTTAGCTTTAAAGTATAAATCCATCAAGCAGTGGTTAGGTGTGTGGGGAAAACTTCCAAGGAAGCCAAGTCAACTCAGCTTCCTCGTCCTCACAGACAACAGGGTGGAGTGTCATGTTTTCACCACATTGCATTTAGGGGCGCTGTTTTACACATTATAAAATGCTCTCAAAGAAGCCTGGCGTCTGCTAGCCTCCGCAAGAAAACATCACTGCCATCAGGTAAGATGTGGGACACATTTTTGGAGCTATCTATAATAATATATTAATTAGAAATTAGAAAACAGAATTACAATTAAATATTCTTAGCAACTTTCGGTTTAATGTCAGTGCGTAAGAATCAGTGATCACCCTAGCATTAAGACGAGACTACTACTATATCTGTGTCAATGCAATCAAACACTGAACACCAGCCAAGGTATTTTATTTATTCCTTCAACCATCACAGACGCCTGATAAAGTTTTACTGATAAACTTTCCCCGCAAACAAACCTGCTGACAAAACGTAAAACATTAGACTCTATTGCTTTTGCCCCAACAAGTGTCCAAGTGTGACCGTGTAACAGCTGATTTTACAAGCGACTATCAAATGAACTGGTGTCTAATCCTACGCCGCAGATATTACTGTTGCCACACTCCAGTGAAATTACAGCCTCCATAAATAGCAGGAAACTCGGTCCTGACAGAGAATCAGTGACGGTTGATGGGAGCTGATAATGTCATCTCACGCCGACTCCCTCCTTTGTGTTTGAGTGACTGCTCTCCCGCTTATCCACTCCGCTGTGCATGTGAATTACGTGTATGTGCCCGCCGTTCCCTCGCTCGGTTTCAATATCAAAATTCTGTGACACTACGTGGGAGTAAAATGTAAAAACCGCAATACCATCAAGGTCATTAGTACGGGTATTTTCGGAGGCAGGCTCACGAACATACGCAGAACAGTGGTACAAAGTGATCTTCTTCCACTTCTTTGACCTTCCTGAAGAGTTTCACTGACCCTCACTTCCTCATTTCCATGACACTTTATCAACCACATTGTGAAGACACTCACTTCCCAGCGTGACAATAGAGAGTGAGTGTCTTGACAGGAGCAGAAATGCATTTACTGAAAGAATGCACAGGTGTTGAGACAATAAATGACACTGTCTCCCGTGTTCATTCAAGTAAAGCAGCCCACTCAGTAACTTTCTCAGACGGCTGACAGGTCTAATGGCCGCAGTACAATATGTGTTTACCCCTCTTGAAGTTACAGAGGCGAAGGATGCCAACAGTACAGTCTTGAAGGGCACTGAAGTAAAAGAGCCGTATATCCATCCTGGAGGTGACAGTTACTGTCTCCTGGAGAGAAAACAATTCCCAAGAATGCATCGCGTTGACAATAGTTCTGGAAAACACCAACCATTCCCCTGGACAGGACATGACGTGATGTAGCATACTGTTAATGGAGGCAGTAACTGCGAGTGAATGCAGGAAGAAACCGTGTGCAACAACGGCCTTTCTAGGAAAATACTGGATTTGATATTAATATTCTGGTACTCTACTATAATATTGGAAAATTTGTACATGTTGTATTCGTTTATTTTCAGCCACATTGAACTTTTTCAGTAATCAATAGATTTTTTTTTTCCTGTGCCGTTTGTGAGTTACCTGAACCTATGATATAAATGCAGGTGTCAAGGGGCATCAGAACAAGGGCAGAGCTATGTTACTTTTTTGGGCACAGTGATGTTTTTACGCTAGCTAGATATACACTAGCTCGAGGAGCACAGCCGCTAGACAACAGGGGCGAAATTGCAGCTATCGCTCAAGCTGTCCGTTCAAGTAGCATCAGAAACTTAAACTAGACAACAGGCGCAAGTGCGAAATTGCAGCTATCGCCCGAGGTCCGTTCAAGTAGCATCAGAAACTTAAGAATCTGTTGTTACATGTTGTACGGCTCAGGACAAATAATTATAAAAAACTCCCAAACTCCAATTTCCTAAGGTGCACCTAGCACCCCTAGTGGCAGTCACTTTGAAAACTGCTGGTCTATGTAGAGATACAGTAAGTAGATAGATAGATAGATAGATAGATAGATAGGTGGATAGATGGATAGATAGATAGATAGATAGATCGAAATTAAGAAAGAAGCTCATGCACACTGCAAGAGTTTTAAGAGACCTTTTTTTTTCTGCCTTCAGCTGCTCCCTTCACGGATGACCACAGCGGATCATCTACATCCATCTCGCCCTATCTGTTGCCTCATCTACTGTTACATCAACCATCTCTGTTTCCTCCTGCACTACATCCATAAATCATCCTTTGTCCAGTATATGAAGTATCTCTTCCCAGCACACGTCCAAACCATCTCAATCTTTTCTCTCTGACTTCATCTTCAAATTGTTGAAACCGTTAGTTTTCCTTCCTATGATGCCAAAATAAAATTTTGACATAGTGCAGTACAAAATTACATGCCCATTTCCAGATGTAAAAATTCTGTCAACGTTACAGCTTTAAATTTAGTCCAGACATAATGCTAACTGCTCTGCAGGATATTTAAGAGTGGATCTTGAGGGTATCTTTAAAAAAAAAATTTACCTTTTGTGTCCTGATCATTTTGGCTCACTCGTATAACGGTGGCTTTACGAGGGAAGACTACACTATGTATTTTACTCACTTTTAAAAGAAGCAGTCCACACCCTTACGAGCACTGCATCTTTATGGCAGTGAATAAATATCACTAACATCTGAAACTACCTCGAACAAATAATCAAAAGAAGGCCTAGTGAAAAAGCCTGTTAAATCTGCTCTTTACCACGCCACCACCTCCATAAACTCACTTGTGTTTAATAGTCAGTCCGTGCACTCACTTCTGTAAAAAGTCTCTGCTTCAGTGTGGGTAGAGTTCATGTCTGGAAAAAGAATGCTCTGGGAAGATCGATGCATTTAATATTAAATTACAGCTTGAACTGTAGTGTTTTTCTTACAAAGAGCTCTGCAGTTTATAGGTTTGCCAATGCCTACAAGAACATGAGCAAGCAAATAGAAAGATAAAAAAAATCATAAAATAAACAGGAAGGCAAACATTGCACTTTCCACAGGTTGTGGAAAATAGTAAATGTGTCGGAAGGTGAACGTATCACAAAGCCAGAAGGAGCTGAGTCTCTGAATGTACAGAAAATCCAGCCACTGAAGCGAGGGAAATCAATTAGTGGCTCCTTTAAAAGGTCAAGTAGTAACTTACATCCACATTCAAACTGCAGAAAAACTATAACTATAAAAGGAGTTCATAAAGACACAGCTACAGCCACAGGCAGCGTTACAAACTAATACTATTTCCAATAAACTTGATCGTGCCTCAAAAAAAAAAATCCTTCGTCTGACGGAAAGCGTCTCTGACATTTTAGTTAAAACAGTAGAATAAATGACACAAACAATAAGGTAACCCACGGTAACCATCAATCCATCCATTATCTACAGCTTGCATTGCAAGTTCACAGGCTGTGAGTTAATCCCAATGCGGTCAACAGGCGAGGACGGGGTAAAATCTGGACAGTTTCCCAGTCCGTCTCAGTGTAGAGGCAACCCACCATCCATGCCACATTCACGACTATGGTCAATTTAAAGAGTCCATTCAACCCAAAAAAACCCAAACCATGAACATGCAAAGTTCATGCCAAAAAAAAAAAATCAACTGTGAATCAAACTAACAAATAAATAATGGCAAACAATATAAGTAGTACCCTAATTTTAGGAAAGGAATCTTTCTATCTATCCATCCATCCATCCTAATATAAGTAGTACCCTCATTTTACGAAAGGAATCTTTCTATCTATCATCCATTCATCCATCCATCCATTCATTCCAAAACACATTTGCCATTAAGTTATACGTTCCTTCAATGATTATATGCCTCTATTTGTATGCATGGAGCTCTATGCTAATTGTCAAATGTGATCAATAAAAGCTGGCTCCAGATCAGAGGTGGATGTGACTCATTGGAGTCCATTCCTGACGTTTGTAGCCTACAGTAAATATGTTTATATTTCATAGTTTCAAAGTTTTACTCCTTATCCCCAATGCATATGAGACTAATTTAATAAGTATTTTCCACATTTCAGATTTGGTTCCAGCCATTGAGACCATGTAAATGATTAATGATGTATAAATTAGACGACAATTAGGGTAATTCATTCATCTTCTGCCTCTTAATATTTTGCAGGGTGTCGGAGGAGCAGGAGCTAAGCATAGCATTAATTGGGCGTACACCCAGGACAGTTCACCAGTCCACTGCAGTGCTACATACTGTACAGAGACGTACTGTCCAATATGACACACTGGTGCATCTGGACTGAAATATTACCCTAAAACAGGGGTTTTTGAAACTGGGAGCTACTTCAAGGGAAACTTAGGAATACGAGCTTGTG